GTGGTGGTCGGCCATCCAAACACTCTACAGGCTCGACCTTGCTAAGCTTCCCAAGCCTGCCGAGGCTGAGCACATTCCGGATAATATGGTCAATGGTGCTGAACTATATCACCATAAAGCTGTATGTACACAAGCACATGTGTCCGTATTATGTACGTATGCTGAACTTCTTTCACACCGTACGTAGCCAACCGTGATGAAAACCGGGTCGCCGGGTTCGTAGTGCAGCGCGCTAACCACTGCGCCACCGCTCCCCGCAAAGACACAAGGTCTCCCGTATAGATGTAACAAACTGTTGGGGCAAGTGGTATTAGCGAGCACGTATGAAGGCCGGCAAGGCACACAAGGGGGCGGGGGTAGCCAACACCATGTCTGGCCGACTTTGTCTCTCCAGTAGCGATGTTACACATCACACCAGGTACTCGTTTGAGGCTGAGTCGACCTAGGGGAGGCCAGGACCGGTTCAGATAATTGTCACTGGTGTTGGCCGTGAGCGGGAATCGAACTCGGGTGGCCAGGTTCATAGTGTCGCGTGCCAACCACTGCGCCGCCGCTCCCCACACACGCACACACGCGCACGGGCAGCGCGCGCCCGCGTGTATGTCATAACAAATTAAACATTTATCTTTTTAATGACGGGCCAGATATTTTATCTCAGCGTGACAACATGACTGCAGGCCCCTAGCATAATGCATCGTCTCTTATTAAACTAAACACACAAATAATTAATTATTTCCTTAAATTGCACCGTTAAACACACAAAAAAACTACGCGCACACACACACACACACGCCACCACCGCTGCCGCCACCATCGGCGACGCGCGATTGCCGCCCTCCCCGCGATGACAGATTATGAATGAGTAATGATAACACCTCGCGCAATATCTGCGGTATTGAGAGGGTTAACCTCCCTCATTGTGAGACTTCCGAACTGCAAAATTAAAGCTGTCAGGTTATCATAAAGTTGCAAATGTTTAAATTGAACAAAGCGCAATTGGAATAAAGAGTGTCACCTCGCCTGTCAGAGCGCCCGGAGACAGCACTCTGTCACAATAACGACCCGAGGGCTGTCACGCGGCGTCTGTTAACGTGGGACCCAGCAAGGCGCGCCAACCCATCGCTGGCTTCTTTAGTTCATCGGCGGCACGCCGCCTTTAACCAGCGGCGGCTGCCGCTGTCCGCACGCGCGCTTCAACCTCCTCATTAGGAGCTGTGACTGGGAAAATTGCGTAGCAAAAAAAAATGAATTGATTTTGTCAACAAACGAGCCGCAAGTTTCAAAAGCGTCTTCATTCGTTTGCCGAATTTACACATTTCTGTTCGTTTCTTTTGCAATCTGTGGGGGAGATCAAAAAAAGTATCGCGAGTGACGCACTGGGAAAAAAACACGAACCGTCCTAACGTACAACACGTTGTAAAGGTACGATGATGTGGTAGAAAGCTGGCGTGGTGGTTAGCTCCCTGTACCTGGTTACCCGTTTTCAAATGGGCTTTGCCCCCCCCCCCCCCCCGGGCCGCTCCCCACCAACCCACACTAATCGGTGTGGTGAAGTACAAAAGCATTCATCCAGCAGTGGAGTGATTGAGACCTGGAACCTATTAAGTTATTTCATGTACAGCATAACAAAACAATCACAGCGATGTATCAGAATACACTTACAAGGAAGCTCATATCCTGTGTACAGCTCTATGCCAATCGTGGAAATTCCATATTCCATTGACGGGGGGGTAAATCATAAATCGCGCTTTAAATGAATGTCAAAAAACATGAATAGGGTAAAACGAAAATATTATTATTTGACCAGGTAAGGCCCAATGAGCTATGTAGCTCTTTTTCAGAAGCGACCTGGCCACAAATGATAGCTCAACGAAGTGGCTTATACTCAAAACACTTGATGATTCTAAATGTGGAGGGAAAAACCGGAGGACCCGCGGAAAAATCCACGCCACCGCAGGGAGAGCACGCATACTCCAAATATACAGGCAACATGGTCGAAAATCTAATCGACGACCTCCTGCATACCAGGTGAGGTAGTCAACATCTCGCGACCCTGGTGAGATGGTAAAATATGATGCCCGTTCCCTAAAACAACACGCGCCAAACAGTGGCGGTACGCGATGCACACCTTCAGCAGACGGAATTTTCACAGCGAGTTATCGGGGCAGATGCTCCACGCAGTCCGGGAGTCTCGGTTAAAGAGCTTCCGCGAGTGGCCTGTTCTGGATTGCCTTTTTTTTACTGTTGCAAACCATCGAGTTAAATAGGCATTAATTGACAGGATAAGCTCCGCTGGATCCTGCGTTAAGCTTAATTACACTCACGCGTGAATAATTAAGTCACCTGCCATACCGCTGAACCCACTGCCACATTGTGCAGTCGGGCGAAATTCATCATACTCGACACGGCTAATCCAGCTAAAGAGGCGTCCAAGAAGCTCGGACCGATCGGTCTCACGCCAAAGCCTTCTTTCACCTCCGTTCGGTCACGACCGCAGAACAGAGCAGCGAAAGTTCAGCCGATGCAGAAGGACCGGGGTCACATCGCCAGGGCGGAGGTTCAAAGTTGCGACACGACGCTTGCTCAACGGCATCCCGAACTCGACGCAGTTTTGCTTCACCGCTGCTCGCTTGCTCGCTCCTCCGCTCACCGATTTCCTGCAGTTGCTCTCTCGCCACGCCGTACAGCCGCTCCACCCTCACTCTTTTATTGCTACCATGAATGTGAACGTTGCTATGAGCTTCGTGATAATTGATACCGTCACCGATAGCCAAAGGTCTCGTTGTACCGGAATTGACTGTGCCCTGCCGGACACAATTCCGCTCAGCCAGCACACTTGCAGGAAACTTAACGAAACTAAAGTAGTTTTTATTTTACCAGGCAAGGCCCACTGCGCTATATATCCCTTTTTCATAATCGACCTGGCCACAAATGATAGCTCAACGAAGTGGCTGATCACGTGGAAATGTCATACAGCCAAATACTCGAAAAGTGTGACGTTGATTCTAAATATAGAGGGAACCGGAGGACCCAGAGTAAAATCCACGCGACCACACAAACTCCAAATATACAGCAGGCGTCAGGGTCAGAAATCAAACCCACGACCTCCTTTATACCAGACGAGGTTGCTAACATCTCATAGCCACCGTGATGATGGTGAGAAAGGGAGAGACACACAAACTCCAAATATACAGCAGGCATCAGGGTCGGGATCGAACCCACGACCTCCTGTAGACTAGGCGATGTAGTTAACATCTCATAGTCACCGTGATGATAATGATGAGAGAGGGAGAGACACGCAAACTCCAAATATACAGCAGGCGTCAGGGTCGGGATTGAACCCACGACCTCCTATATACCAGGCGAGGTAGTTAACATCTCATAGCCACCGTGATGATGATGATGATGGTGAGAGGGAGAGACACCCAAACTCCAAATATACAGCAGGCGTCAGGGTCAGTATTGAACCCACGACCTCCTGTATACCTCCTTGCCTCGCCCTGCTCGACTCTGGACTCTGGAACTCTCTACCCTAGTCTCAATGGCCTGTGATAACTCATGAATAAGGGCCATTGCCCGAAACATCGCCTATTATATCACTTTTCCTTGTAAGGCCACAATGTTATTGAGGAAGGCTGTAGAGTTTTTTTTATATCAACTTACTCTAATTGCAATCCCGGTCTCCGTGTAAATGAGAAACCGTGATCTCAATAGACTCTTGACTCGGTTAAATGAAGGGCAACATGGAACTGATAATCATGTGCGCTTGGTGTGACATGACAGAGGACCCCTGGTGGATTATTAGGGTGATAGAACCGGGCATTCCGTCTAAATGTCGCTCGTTCAGGGTCTCAGCCTGGTCACATAATTGAAGCCCTAAATTCCGTTCTTGCACTTAATTTGGTAATTTTACAGCTCCGAGACTTCAAAATTTCGATTTAATGATAATAATATTAATGATAGGAGTAACTTCAACTTGTAACGGTCCGCCGTGAAGTACTCGCTCACTCCCAAAGAGGTGCCAGGAACCACAGATGAGTGGGAAAGGCAGCAGCCAGGTGGTCGGGTTGACGGTAAATTTCCCCAAAGTTATGCTATCCTCTACACGTGGTGTTTCTTATTGACAATTACTTAGTGTTTATACACGTGTGGGAGGAAACCGGAGCAACCGGAGAAAGCCCACACGTGCGAGGGGGAAACACTCGATCCCATGCAACTGACATTCGCTGCACCGCTTCCACAACATTCGCCAAACCCTCGCCCGCTGCCTCCACAGCGGCCAATTACAAGAGGCAGCCACTTGCAATGTAGCCACCGCCGGCCAGGTTCGAGTATCACGCGAAGAACGATCTCGCAGCGGAGTGTATGGGAGGGCGTGCCCCCTGCTGTGTAGAGGCCACGACAGGCACTTGGAAGGATTTTTTTCAGGAAAGGTGCCGCAGCAATATTATTTCCGATGCAACAGGGAGGAAAAAAAATTGCGCAAAAAACGTTTCTGAAGAACTACCGCTCATCAAAATTTACGAGCGGCACAATGTCGTGCGCACATTCGAAAATTGGCGGAAAAAAAATAGGTAGCAAAAAACCGCATGACGCATGGCAAGAGAGCACAGCTGCGAGCGGGTACGAGATAATATCTTTGCCCCTAGGACTCTATACAGAAATGCGTTTCCACCCATTCCAATATAAATCACCTCCGTTGTTTTCCAATGAAGCCAATTATGCAAATTTGATAATTCCGTTGTATCCAAACGAGCCCTAATGAGGTGAAATACGGATTATATATATATAAATACAATTATATTTACTGTGTGTGCGCCGTACTGCGTCCGGCGCTCTGTTGCATGAGGATTGGTGGGAGGGGGGGGGGTAGAAAGAGAGGAATTGTAGAGAAGGAATGATAAGAGAGGAGGGAGTGGAGAGAAAGAAGAGAAAGACGGGAAAGGAGGAGGGATGATAGACATGGAGAGAATTGAGACAGAGAGCGTGTTGGGATTTACCCGTGTCCCAAAAATTTCTCCCCGTCGTGGATGCGCAGCGAGCAGCGGAAGTCGTTCGGGAACTGGATCCCGACCTGAGCCTCCAGCGAATCCAGCACGCTCTCCAAAATCCCCTCTGCGGAGGCATCACACAGCGCCGGCTCGTCAGCAGCGCACAGGGTCACGTGACAAGACTGGCAGCGGCGGCGGCGGCAGCAGCAGCAGCAACAATGTTCAGCGAGATGATCCAAACCAGTTTAGCGTCAACAAACTACGAGACAGAGAGGCAGTTAGGAAGACCAATCGACAGATAGAAAGGCACGGATGGTAGAGAGGCAGCTACGTGCGCAGACAAACAGATCTGCGATGCATAGATAGCGAGACAGGCAGGCAGAGAGACAGGTAGGTGGAAAACCAGCCAAATGGAGAGACACAATAAGACAGATAGATAACAAGACTGATAGAGGCAGAACGAGAGACAAAGAGACAGATAAACCAATAGAGGCAGATATACACAAAGATAAATAGGGATAGCCAGACAGACATGGAGACAGAGAGACAGAGAAATTAGACTAAGAAAAGGTCAGATAGTAAGAGAGACAGATAAATTAAAAGAGAGACAGGATGGAAGGAAGCCAGAGAGGGAGAGTTTCTTAATTTGCAAGGCAATGAGAACAATTGTTGGTGAAGCCTCGCTTATCTACATTTCACCTGAATAATACTCATCACCATTACTATATTGCCAGAATCAGGAACTCCGAGTGAGACATTGTTAATCAGTTTAAATAATCAAGAGATGCTCCAAAAGTCGCATTTTTTTGTTGCCCTCAATCACTTTTTTTTCTCGAACCAATACACAAGTTTTTAGGCGTTAATTTGTTGAAATGTCGCAAACTATTTGGCCGGTTTTCAATGCAGCCTGCATCCTTTTTGCCACGTGTCTGTGCCAATGTGACACCAGGGCCAGAATCCCATCCCCAGCCTGACAAGATGTGAACTTCCTCGCCTGGTATACAGGAGCGGATTGACAAAATTACGCAAATTATTACCGTTATCACAATTATACGTGTTCGTGCAGGCCACACACAAAGCGCGAGACACGCTCCACATCGGCGCGTCCCCTAAGAGCCACTCGGGATTTCAAAACGAAAAAAAAACATTAAAAATAAAACGCCGTGCAGTGAGGCAGCGTGCTGCACAGGGGGTGGGCGAAGCAACCAATGCAATGTTCAGAAGCTCAGCGGCGGGCACCGCTATTTATTGTTTGATTTTTTAGTTTTGGCTTTCTTCGAAATTTCATCCCGTAATTCCGCTGCTGGATGAAGGCCTTTTTCCCACACCGTACTAGTCATGGGGGATGCTTGACCATACTTCACCAGGCTCGTCAATGAGTTGTGGCGGACCAGAAACCGCAATAACCAAGGATTCATTTCAACCGGCTCCATCTGGACCAGCGATCCGGAAATATGTCTGCGCCCGGCAAACCACATCCAGTATGCCTCTCGCTATGGCTGTGGCTACTACTCGTGGGTCATGTGCCACCTACTCCAATCTGCCAGCGACCCGGAAAATATGCCCACTCCCGGCACACCACATCCAGTATGGGCTGCGGCCCACGAGCTCACGCGCCAGCCACCGCACGCACGACTACAGCGCGCCAGCGACTCGGACCGCACTCTCTGATCAAATCAAGCGTCGCTCACGACGACTGGACCACCTCCCCGGACGATCCGACCCATCGGCACCTTACTCGGGCGGGGGTGGCGTGGCACTGCCTGCTGCTGCTGCCATGAACGTGCGGGGGGAGGCGACCCGAGGGATTAAACAGCGATGCTGGGAGGAGGAGCAGCAGCAGCGGAGGCAGAAGGAAACCGACACGAGGCAGCAACAGCGTCCGACCTGTTTAGTCTCACGGCGCGCGTCGGTAAGCTCATCGCCGGTTCAATTTCACCGGGACAAGGGGATGGGTGTTCCCACCCAGCTCTCCCACCACCACCGCCGCCGCCGCCACCGCCGTAACCCACGCCACCATCCGCCGGCCACGGGTTTGTCCGCTGAACCCGGGATGTCAGAGCCGTCCAATACGGTTAATTGAATGACCGATCGTTTTCCACTGGATTCGCATTAAATCTATCGTCGGCCGTCCGCGGCGTGTCGGTGCCGTTGGAAAACGAAGAGCCGGCTCGTCGCGCGGAGCGGTTTACCGTTCTAATCGAGCGGCGAAATTACCGGTGAAAGACAGGAGATTCGACGCCCGGCTGCCGCCAGTCCAACCGTCGCCCCCCCACTCCCACTCCCCCCCCCACTCCCCTCCCCCCACTCCCCCCCCCCTGGCCCCCCGCCCCCTTTCAGAGAGAGGACGATGATTTTACGCGCCCCGCGTTCTACTGTCGCGGACACAGCGCGCTGCGGTTTGTAAATGAGCAGCGAAATGAGCGATGAGCGACAGGGCCGGGTTGCTCAACGAGCGGCCGCCTTAGAAGTACGACTGTCCCCGCAAATAGAAGTTTGTTTTGTTGTACCGGGTGAGAAGGCAAGGGACCAGAGATAAGTCTCATTGGCAGGAGCCACCTGGGTCACCCAAATAACGAAAGCAATCACATGCAAGCAACGTCCCAACAATGGAGCAGATAAAAATCGGAAACAAAAACGGCGTTACGTAAGAAATGTAACGCAGCGACTTTAAAAAGAGGAAGCATGCAGAACAATCACCAGGAGGTGGGGGCACGTTCATGGCCAACGGTAAACGAACGTTGAGCCACGCGCCGGAACGAGTGCCGATGCGATCCGCTCTCGCTCCCGCTCCCGCCCTCTGTGAAAAACGAAATTCTGCCAAGGCCGTCGCTGAATTGTCCTCATTGTTGCACCGTTTGTTGACTTGAGTACTACAGCTACGGTGTGGTGCGGGGGGGGGGGGGGAGGGCTTAATCTCATGCCCCTACAGGTCTACCCCGACCGCGGTCGCTCGTACGAGCCGCGTTGGAGAGGAGGCGACTCGCGCCGCCCGCTATCGCCGTGCGCGAGCTGCAAGCGGTCGACTCGCCAATAGGTGGCAGCACTTTGGGGCGGCCGTCTGGAAAACCGCGCGCGCTGTGCGGCACCCCCCGTGCCGTATTTAGACGGCTAGACAACAATAAAATAGACGTTGTGGGGTTTCAAGGAGGTTCCAAACGTCCCCGCCCCCCCCCCCCCCCCCAAAATTGCCCCCCCAACCCCCTCCAATGAATCCCGCACCATCACACACGCCGCACCGGGGTGACGCGCGCCGACGGTTTTGCCGAGCGCGTTCCCAGCGCACGCCACATACACAAGCACGCACGCAAACACACGTGCACGTCGCCCCTGCGCGTCAAATACAGTCGCGCACGTTTATTATGCATCCCGCGGGCAGAGTACACCTCGCGCGCTAAAAACACGTTCCCATCTAAACGGTAACAACCGTCGAAATAAAGGTTTAGAAAAAAACCTTTTAAACATTATTCCCGTAACTTTATTTGATACAATGACGACCTCAGGTGGCCTGTTAACCGTGTAAAGAATTTCCGCTCTTGTTAGTTTCCACGCTCCCTCCACCCTGCGATGTTCCGTGACTTTCGCCCCTCCAGGTGTACGTGGGCTTTGGTCAATGAGTCTCTTTGTAACTCTTTGGATCTCAGAAAATCCATGGAACTCCACGTAACACTTCGTGGATCTCTGTGCATATCTGTTTATCTCTATGTAACTCTATGGATCTCTAACTATTTAGATCTGTATCAACTCTTCTTGTACAAGCTGCTGCTTTTGATGCTGCCGCTTCTTATTATTTTGCTGCTTCTGTTATTATTGCTGCGACTGTTGATTTTCTTCTTCTTTTGCTGCTGCTGCTGCTTGGACTGCTTCTACTCCTGCTCCTCCTGCTACTGCTATTGACGCTCTCATCCTCACAATCGCACCCACACGGGCGATCAGCAGGATTACGCCTAAAGGAGCCTCGCACCAAGCTCGAACTCTGCTCCTTTTCACGGTGAAATCAAAGTTAACCTGGCAGGCCAACAAAAGGGAAGCCGCGGCGGCCGGAGTGCCCGGCGCGCTCGCGCAACGCGGATATCTTTTGGAGGAGAGGGGGGGCAATAAAAACCCCGAAAATCCCAGCGACTGCTGCCGGAGAGGCATTGGCTCCGCGGGAGCGCTCATGTCCCGCGAGCAGATGGAAAAGCCAGTTTTAAACCTTCTGCTCCACCCCTCCGCCCCGCGCCCCCCGCGACCCCCGACCCACTCCCACAGCGAGCCGCGTGTTTCCTCGTGCTGCTGTCTGCCACATGGCACACGCGGCCGGGATCGGCGCCCCGCGCGTGTTCAAAGTGGGGGGGGGGGGGGGGGGGGTGGGTGACGGCGAGTTCATCGGTTATCGTTTATTTTTGTCTTAAATAATATTCGCCGTTCGGAATCCGTGACCCGGAATCCACGCTCACCTGCCATCTATCTGCCTTAACCATCGATCCGATCCATCGAGCTGACCCTCCTTAAGTAAAAAAAAACAAATCTAAAAATATCAACGCGTGGCCTTTGCCGGCGATCGGTGCAATATTTATATACGAGCCGGTGCACACGTGCCATATCGATAGGCCGGCGAACGCTGATTTATAGCTGATAAGTGATTGATTATTGATTGCTGATGGATGATGATGGCGGTGGCGATGACGCTGGCAGAACTCGGAACCATAAGCGTGAATGTGCAGAGGAGCGGTAAAACACTCGAGATGGATTATCTGAATTTGCATTAAAAACAATATATAGCGCTCACAAAGACCCCTCCCCTTCACAGTATAGCCTTCGATTACTCTTTGGGCAAGTGCTGTAAGTGAGCAGCGATTAAGCTCGGCACGGCGCACGAGTGCAGTGCTATGGCCAGAACCACGCGCCGCAGGCCTTCATCTTCACAGCTGTGATGTTCACGCACTTAAGTCTAAGTTGACCTAGGGGAGGCTCAATATTCAGATATTCAGTTCAGATGTCCGTCACTGACGTTGGGCGTGAGCGGGAATCGAACTGAGGGCGCCGGGTTCAGTAGTGCGGTGCGCGAACCACTGCGCTACCGCTCCCCACATGCGGCACACGTCTGTGCACATTCACACACACCGAATCAAACAAAACGGC